TGTCTTACACTGTCCGACATCTCCCTGCACCCACTCTTCTGTTGTCTGTCCCCCAGAGAGGGGGTTATATGTAGATCCTTGTAATCGGTTCCCCCTTTCTACCTCATCTTCCCTCCACCCTCCCAGTATCACCACTCTCACCACTGGTTCTGAAGGGTCCATCTGTCCTAAATTCCCTGTTTCCAGTTCCTTTCTGTATCAGTGTACATCCTCTAGTGTAGCTGGATTTGTAAGATAGAATTGGGATCATGATAGTGGAAGCATTTAAGAACTAGAGGAAAGTTGTAAGTTTCATCGGTGCTATGCTGCACTCTGACTGGCTTGTCTCCTCCCCACGACCCTTCTGTAAGGAGATGTCCAGTTGCCTGTAGGTGGGCTTTGAGTCCCCACTCTGCACTCCCTCTCATTCACAATGATATGATTCTTTGTTCTTTGATGCCTGATAACGGATCCCATCCACACCTCATGATCACACAGGCTGGTGTGCTTCTTCCATGTGGCCTTTGTTGCTTTACAGCTAGATGGCCGCTTGTTTATCTTCAAGCCTTTAAGACCTATCTTTTGATAGCCGGGCACCATTACTTTTCTTCACATTTGCTTATGCACCAACTGTGTCTTCAGTGATAATGTCGTCAAGAAAGTGAGCATCATGGAATGCCAGTTTAATAGAACAAAGTATTCTTGCATTGAGGGAGTACTTGAGTGGAGGCCCGCTGTCCATCTGCTACCTTAATACTAAACCTATAAATATATGCACATATATGCCATCATCATACATAAGTATATTTACATATGTACATAAATATATTTACATATGGACATGCCTGTATTTAGTTCTCTATAAATGCCCTTTGCCTCCTAGTTCTTTCCTCTATTTCTTTATTTTCCTCTCGTCCCACTATCAGACTCAGCCTTCATTTGGGTTTCACTAATTCCTCTCGGTTACATTGCCCTTGATCAAGTCCTACCAGGCCTCTTATCCCCTTCTTGCTACCAATTTTGGATCACTTGTTGTTCCCTTGTCCCTGGATTTGTTAATACCACTTCCTTTCCCCCACCTCCCCCTCTCCCATGTCCCCTGGGAACCATAGGTCCTGTTATTTTCTCCTCCAGATTGTTTACCCAGACTATCTTATCTAGAAAGACCTGCAGAGATAATATGCACAAAAACAAGACCTAGCAAAACAAAGCAACAAAAGAAAACAAAACATCAACAACAAAAAAACAATGACACAAAAAAGAAAAGCCTGTAAATAGATCAAGGTCTGTTTGTTGACCTTTAGGAGTGTTTTCTGGTCTGATGGTATGCCACACCCTGGCCCTAAAGGCTATTTTTGGTATTCCCTTGGGACTTCCTTGCTCCGCTCCCCTTGCTGCTCTGTTGCACACCCTTAATGTTTTGCCTTGGTGTGTTGGGGACCCCAATTTCTTTATCAGCATCTTCAGGCTAATAGTCCTGCCTCTAAGGCCTGTTCTAACTACTCACCTCAATTTGAGCAAGTCACCTCACATATCAGGCATGTGATTTCCTCCAGTGTAAACTGAGAAGTGTGGTCTGAAATGGGTGCTCTAAAAAGTGGCATCTAAATATGTTTCCAGACAACCAGGCTATTTAAGCCCAATTTCACCCCATAGAGAAAGTATCTCTGCTTGAGTCCTTTCCTATTTGTATCAAATACAGAATGATGCTTATGAACAATGCCCTTCATGAAGTACCCCACTGTTTTGAGCTCTCTTGCTGGGAGGTACATCATCAGGAGGCATCCATTCCATTACTAAGACATTTTGAATGTAATCCAAGGAGAACCTGAAGTAAAATGAACTCTAAATAGCTTCTCTGGTGCTATAGGGAAGTTAAGGAAACATATGGATAAAATTAACCAGAGCTTTCAACCCTGGGTTAAACTACTCTACCTCTCAGGACATCAGCTTCCTTATTTATAGAAACACAGAGGCTTTTAAATACAAATAATCCCTAAGGAAGCAGTCACCCTAGCCCAAAGAAACAAATGAACATTACTAGAATTGGGAAGGAGTAGTAAGGAAGCTTGTGGAACGTGAAAAGACACTTTCAAAATCAGTTACTCCTTTTTTTAAATGTAGAGCTCAAAATACAAAAATAACCCTATTGTGCTGGTAGTTGAAGAAAGAAGCACTGGAGGAGGTATGGTTTAAAAAAAGCATTTTTTTAAAATGTTTTAAGGAAAACTATAGTAAATCCCTGTGGGAAGTACCTCATAGTTCAAAGTATGTGAAATAAAAACTAAAGTTAGCATATAATAAAATAAACTCAATTTAAAGAAAATAAATCATACCTCCCAATATAAATGAAATTTTAGAAAAAGAACTGGGACTACTTACACTATTTTTTCCCTTTAGAAAAATTAAATAAATGCACAAACATGCAAACTTCTGTACAAAATATTCAAGGTGTCATTTTTGTTTTTGAAAATTCTTATTATAGTTCCCACCAAAAACCAATTCAATAATTTTATAAGCCAAAGCAAAACCAAGTTACTCCATCTCTGGTTCTAATATTGCTTCAAAACTCCAGGGCTCCATTTTACATAAGAAAAAGAAATGGGATATAAATTATGCCAATCTTCCTGAGGCCAAATACATTATGCTTCGTTTTCAATCAAATCTTTTCTTCCACGAAGCTTTTGGGCATTTTTGTCTACTCTATAGCACCAATAGGGATAAAATGACAGGAGACCATACTTAGTCCAGTCCACTCATTAGTACCCTTGGTAAATTATTTGCTAACAACTGAAACCCTCTCCACACTATTATTTGGGGAAATCTAGATTTATCCTTTTCCCAGTTCCCATTTCAGGTGACAATCAAAAGCTAGTGTTCAACTCCTAGAACATGTATGTCTACACCATCAGGTTTCAATTCCTCAAATCCAATTTTAGGTTATTCTTGACGGCTGGACTTGAGTAGGGAGCATCAGAATTTTAAAAAGTGGGGAGATTTTCAGAAAGAGGGGACTGTCCTACCAAAAAAAGATTCACTGGCCTACCCCACCAAAATTAAGCACAGAGAAATTCCAAAAAGCAGATTCCTACTTCTATCTACCAAATTAACTTTATTTTATAGTGTCTCTTAATTTTATTAAAATATACAACCGCTAGAATAAAAGCAAGAAGTACACCTTAATACTGAGATCTTGGGAGACGTTGGACAGTGTAAGATATGACAAAATAAGAATAATTTGTAAATTATCAAGGGTTCATGAGGGAGGGGGCAGTGGGGAGGGAGGAGAAAAAAATGAGGAGCTGATACCAAGGGCTCAAGCAGAAAGCAAATGTTTTGAGAATGATGATAGCAACAAATGTACAAATGTGCTTGACACAATGGATGTATATACGGATTGTGATAAGAGTTGTATGAGCCCCCAATAAAATGATTAAAAAATAAAAAAAAGATCTAAGATCTAAAAAAAAAATACTGAGATCTTGCAGGCCTGGAAAATGAATCCCTGTGAACATTTCACAAGGTTATACATCCTCGCCTATTAAAATCTCACATAACCACAATTTATGGGTTTTGTGGATCCTTTTGAAGCAACAAAGCTAAACCTTTCATGTGGCCTACAGAGTCACATGCTTTTCAATAATCTCCTTTCAAGCCCCTCCTTTGTGGATGTGAGCTACTCCAAATGTCTGAAATGTGAAGGTCAACAAAATGAAGGCTTTAATTATACCTGTCTATTGAAACTATCTCTGTCAAACTGTCAGCTCAGCCATCTTTCAACACAGCTCAAAGAATCTGTTTCATTTTCCCTGACCATCCAAAGCCCTCCCGCTCTTTTCTTCCTCCCTTTTCTTTTTAACCAAGTCTAGACGCCAACAGCCAAGTCAGTTTATAAGTGAAGGATGTGTTTGTCTGAGACCAAAAGCCTGCCCCTTTCAGATCCACGGGGACGTCCAGACACTGCCAAGTGCTGTGGCAGTGGGCTGGATCAGAAAGCAAGAAGAGAAAAAAGGGCACTCTCCATTCAACCTTGTCCTCTGGGGCACTTCCTGGGTTTTTCATTGGCACTTAACACTAAGACACAAGACTCATTTTTTTCATTAAAGTTGCAAGACTTTCACTTTGCCCAGTTTCAAATGGTGTAATTGATCTGTATTGTCTTTCTTAAATAACCTAATTGGTGAAGGACACTGCAGCTTTAAATATTTCAGAGCTAGCTAGCAAACAGACTCCATCTCAATATGGCTTTGAAGGTCGTGTCCTATTGTCTTTCCCCTGCAAAAAAACCCACCACCACAAAAAACCAACTTCTAAATCCTTCTATGTAACAGAAGAAAGGTTACTTCCCTAGAATTTCCACTCTTCCACCTGGGTCCCTTACAGTGTTCTGGTGTTTACTGGAATCTCACACTCCTAATTTTCCCGGCAGGAACAATACAGATTGCTATTAATGATTTCAGCACCTTAGTGAGGCATAATCACGTGTTCACATTAATCTAATCGAGCATATGCAACTGTCTGAAATGGTACCACTCAAGTCCTCATTGCCCAGTTTCAGGCAGGTGATTTGGGAGTGGACAGTTTTCAGGCGGCACCCTGAGCCCAGGACTGCATAACCTGAAATGTGTAGCTACTTAAAACGATAAGAATCTCGGCCTGCTAAGCCTGGGACTACGTCGGCACCCTGCCATGTACTTGGAGCTTAATTTATCAAAGAAGGTCAAAATAAGAAGCCCAAGCACGGTGAAGGAGAAAATGAACGGAAAGAAAAGGCCCTTGTGTCCCCTGCCAGAGAGCTGTGATACAATTTCTTCAACAGCCAAGTGTTCCTCACTCCCGTCTCCATCCTCCCCCCACCCCCCAAAGCCCCCCGATCGTGCAGCTGCCAGTGAACTGGAGGTTTGGGGGTAGGGGGGTGAGGGGAGGTTCAGGACCTAGACACGGCTACCTTTTCAAAGAATCCAAATCCACAAGGAAGAGGGTCAAGGGAGGGGGAGGGGAGGGGTGCATTCAAGCATTACCTGGAATGGCAACAGATTGTTACCATTATCGGTACGGAAAGCGTTGTCCTCCATCCAGGACTTGGAGGTGAGCGGGGCTGCACGGGGGAACTTGGGTGGCGCGATCACGTTGCTGGAGAAGGGCTTTTTGAGTGGTGAGATGGGGTTGAGTGGCGAGGGCACCCCGACGCCCACGCCCACGCCCACACCGACCGCCCGGCGAGGGTCCCGGCCCGCCTGCAGGCCGCCCCACGGGTTGGATGGCGCGCTCCAGGCAGCGTTCACGCTCTGGTGCGTGTTCCAGCTGGACGAAGCGGAGGAGGCGGCGGCCGCAGCCGCGGCGGCCGCGGCAGCCGAGGACGAGGACGGCTTGCTGGTCATGATGGGCTGGTGGCCGTACGCCGCAGCGGCGCTCCTCTGAGCATAGGGCGCCTGGCTGGGGCTGGCGGGCGACCGGCGCTGCTGCGGAGGCTGGGGCTGCGGGGGCTGCGCGGGCTGCGCCGGCTGCGGCGCGGGCGGCGGCGGCGGCTGCTGGTGGTGCTGGGTCTGCGCCAGGCCGATCTGCGGGGAGAAGGTGCCTCCGAAGACGGGGTTGACGTGGTGCGGGAAGTTCTGGAAGAGCATGGTCCCGTTGACTGGGGTGATCCCCTGGAAGAAGCTGTCTTCCACCGCGTTCGTGGTGGCCGTGGACCAGGTGCTGCCGAAGGACGGCGACAGTGACGCGCCCGGTGCCGCGGGCTCCTGCGGCGGCTGCTGAGGGGGCTGGTGGAAACTCAAGCCTGGCAGGAGCGGCGATTCCATCTGCATCTTGTCCGGGCCGTTGGGGGCCTGCGGGGCCGCGGCGGCGCTGAGAGCCGGCACTGCGCTGCTGTCCTCTGGCTTGGGGGTCTCTGAGGAGAGGGGCGTGGACGGGGCTTCGGCTGCGCTGGGCTCGGGCTGGGGTTGCTGCTGCTGCCGCTGCTGCTGGGGCTGGGGCTGGGTTTTGCTTTTGTCCATCAGTAAATCATCCTGCATGGTTTGCGCAGCTGAAACGGGAAAAAAGAGAGACGCGTTATTGTCAATATGATCATTAATGCTCTTGCTGAAGCGGGCGGTGTCTTACTCGCGAAAATCCAGTGCCACCGCTACTAGCCAATTGCAATGCAAGTCCATAATCTCCCATTTAGAAGAACTGTTTGGGCTGGGGAGGGGAGGTGGTCGCGCTAGGTTTCTAAAAATACTGTGATAGCGTCTTCACCCTTTCTGGTGTCTTGGTTCCTTTCCTGTATATGAGAGATGTGCTTTTAAGACAGAAAGACAGCAATTTCGCCACGTCTCTTTTCCCTTCACCGGAACTCCGAGTGTTCAGCCTGCAATGAGAAACTGATTCTGGTTCCTGTTTTTTCCCAAGCACCACCCTCCCCCAGTTATTTGCATACGTCAATAAATACTGCTGCGTCCTTCATCAAGGTTAAAAAGACACCAAGCACAGGACCCTTTCTTCCCCTTACCAGCTCAAGCACTTTTAAGAATCAGCAGGCTCTCCCTCTTGATTAGTGAACTGCCTTCTTGCTTTGATAATTGTTTCATTTAGCTGCAGCGAACCACAAGGGGGAAAATCCTTGGCATTTGTTAAGAGGAGGACTCAGCTGTACAATTCTCCAGCCTCCCTGTAGCTGCTGCTACTCCATTTTGTTAGGAGACATTTAACACATACACAAACACACATTTTTAGAGAGGCAATAACTTGCTGAAACGGTTGGAAGTGCTTACTTCTAGTTACTGTAAGGTTTATCATTATTTCTGCTTATTCTCCAATATTCTTGTCTCCAATTCTGCCGTACAAGAGAATTCTTGGTATCTAGTGTTTTAGGTCTCAACAGGAGCCTGGGACTCCACAGAGTGGAGAAATGCTTCTTGTTGGATTTGAGGTCAAAAATAAAAGAGCGAGAATGAGAGTATGGTGTGTGAGAGACTGTGAAATGGAAAGTGTGGGGGGGGGGCCTTTAAAAATCCTTCTGTGATTTAAGTAAGCAGTTAATTCTGGAATTTCCACATTTCTGTTTTTATAATCCTGCTGCTGTTCTAGTTACAAGACTTTGGCAAATTTTGAATCCATTAAATCCATTCTCTTATCACTAATATTTGCAGTGAAAGATTAAGATTTGAAGATCCTTAAGTACCATATGCTAGCAAAAGTGTTAAAAATAGCATGGTATAAAGCCCTTAATTTTCATACATTGTAATTATAGTGCATTGCCAACACTGCTTTATTTAGCCATAAAATACCATATAAGGAGTGTATGGTATTTTCCATTTCACATAGACAGCCTATATTCTCCTCTACCATACAACATATACTTGTATGAAAGGATGGAAATGGTAATCACTAACCATATTTCCATACATGCACTTATCACTGAATGTGTCTCTTAGAACATGTTGTTTTAAATATATGAATATTACAGTCTGAGATTCCTAAAACAAATATTTGAAATGTTAAAGGAGCATAGGACCAAATAAATAATTATTTTTAGACATGGCTCAGTATAATTGCAATAAACTTAATATATTTAATACAGCAGCCTAATTAACTCATATTTACAAAACTATTTTTCTCAGGAGGCCTTGTGAAAGGGCATTTGATACACAGAAGCTCTGCCTTTTGCATGGTAATAACTTTGTAAAATAGATGTATTAAAAGTAGATGCTACTGCTCTTAATTATTAAGGAAATTATTTCAGACCAAAATTTAAAAGTAGATCTACTGTTTTATTAAAGAGTAGCTTTAAAGGGGTTAACTGATATCGTCCATTTTAAAGTTTCTTACACACACAAAACAGTGAGCTCAGGGAAATGTTTCATAGCCATGTTACACTCCTTTCTACTCCTCACTCCTCTGCCTCTCCCCCCCCAAAAAAAAGGGGGAAAATCCAATATGATATACATCACAATTTTCTAGCCACTACCAACATAATCTGTTTAGGTTGCTTTTATGTTCTTCAGTTCCCTTGGTCTAAAACAATGGCTGTGATCAGTATTGTAGATGTATAAAATATAACACAAAGAGGAAAGCAAAGCTTGGATTCATATAGCACAAAATTCTATTGCTGCCAAAGGTGACGGTCATAGAAAGAGATGTTTTTTTACTTGGTTTAAATGGTGCTGCAATTAACCATTATACTCATGGATTTTAGTTGCTTCCAGTAAGCTAGAATTGTCTTTTTACAATAGCCATATCATCATGGCTGAAACATGCATTTGATTATAATTTTAATATCACCCAGCTTCTCCGGTGGCTTGTATCAATACTTTTTGCTGATGCCTTCAGTTTAAATATTGTTGGTGGAAAAATTAATGCTGTACAACAGCAAAAAACTAAACTAAAAAGTAAGCTGTTCTCAGAATATTTTATAAGGACTATAATTAATATTAATACAATTTTTAATTTAAGAATATCTATCACATCAGGAACATCCATTTCTCTTCTCAACACTCCTTAAAGGTACAAATCTCACTTGCTGAATAAATTTACTTTGTCAAGGTCAAGACCCACCTTAACAAATAAGGTCCTTTTAAATAAAAGGTAAGTAGTGGATTAAGATAACTAAGATAACATTTATAAAGTATATAAGCAATGTTTCTCAGTTATTGCCCATATAGCTTTTTTTTTGCTTATTTACAGCAAAGTCCGAGAAATAGATACCTCCTTCCCCTCCCCCACCACACACAATAGATCTTTCTTAACATGCAATAACCTACTTTCAAGTAACAGATTCTTAACAGCAGTTACCTTTGAGTGTCCAGTTTTTAAGGATCGATAAAATTTTAAAGTGTACAGTATTTATTTTCTTCTTTCAGGTTGATTATGTGACCGCTCTGGCAAAAGCACTTTGACAACTGTAAGGAGAGAGGGCATGCGCACACAGGGAACTGTGGGGGCTGAAGTCCTTCGCAAGGTACTCTGCCTGACTTCAGCGTGTTCAACCAAGAAAGGAGGAAGCCTCAGAAGTACAGATTCCAAGGGGAAGAGGCTGTGCCCGGATTACATTATATCCTCCTAACCAATCTAAATCACGAGTTGTTGAAATGAAAAGAGGGAAAAATAAACTGGTTTGTCAAGTTGATTTAGAAAGCATGGTTAAAGAGAAACTGGATTGTAAGACTCAGAATGAAAACACCCAACAGAGCTACCTTAAATGGTATCAGAGTGGTAATGACAAGCTAGCCAGCAATAGGAACCCCAGTAAAGATTGGGAGCCAGGCGTGGGTGAAGAGGGAGGAACGATAAATACCTAAAATCTGACCATGCTCAAAAGAAACATTTTAATATAAAATTAAGAATGCATAAACATTAAAATGTGTTAATCTTGCAGGTCAGTTAAAAATAGAATTGTCAAAATTTTTTTTACATCTTATCCACCAAGATGTCTTTGTATTTTAGTTTTCAATAAAGGGGCAAATAATTTATTTTAAGATTCTACTGATATACTGTCTCGACACTTCTTTTTAATTGTTAAAGTGAATTAATCATGCGATGGTCAATAAAACACACTTTCTTTAAAAAAGACTGGAATACTATTTGGTGGAATATTAAATACTAATTTGATATATTAATATTTCCCTGCATAAGACAGTGACTTCTTTATAGAAGACCAAAAACAAGTAGGTTTTGTTTTTTTTTTTAAATCATTTTTTTCGGGCTCTAACAGCTCTTAAAACAATCCATCCATCCATTGTGTCAAGCACATTTGAACATGTTGCCATCATCCTTTTCAAAACATTTTCTTTCTACTTGAGTCCTTGAATATCAGAACCTCATTGTTTCCCTCCCTCCCCCACCTTCCCACCCTCATGAACCCTTGATAACTTAGTATTTTTTTAATTGTTTTATTAGGGGCTCATACAACTCTTATCACAATCTATACATACATCACTTGTGTAAAGCACATTTGTACATTCATTGCCCTCATCATTCTCAAAACATTTCCTCTCCACTTAAGCTCCCAGCATCAGGTCCTCATTTTTTCCCCTCCCTCCCCACTCCCCACTCCCTCATGAGCCCTTGATAATTTATAAATTATTATTTTGTCACATCTTGCCCTGTCCGACGTCTCCCTTCACCCACTTTTCTGTTGTCCGTCCCCCAGGGAGGAGGTCACATATAGATCCTTGTAATCGGTTCCCTCTTTCCAACCCACTCTCCCTCTACCCTCCCAGTATCGCCACTCATATTATCGGTCCTGAAGGGATCATGCACCCTGGATTCCCTGTGTTTCCAGTTCCTATCTGTATCCGTGTACATCCTCTGGTCTAGCCAGACTTGCAAGGTAGAAATCAGATCATGAGAGTGGCGGGGAGGAAGCATTTAGGAAGCAGAGGAAAGTTGTATTTTTCATCATTGCTACATCGCACCCTGACTGGCTCGTCTCCTCCCCAGACCCCTCTGCAAGGGGATCTCCAGTGGCCTACAAATGGGCTTTGGGTCTCCACTCTGCACTCCCCCCATCATTCACTATGGTAAGATTTTTTGTTCTGATGATGCCTTATACCTGATCCCTTCGACACCTCGTGATCACACAGGGTGGTGTGCTTCTTCCATGTGGGCTTTGTTGCTTCTGAGCTAGATGGTCGCTTGTTTACCTTCAAGCCTTTAAGACCCCAGAAGCTATACCTTTTGATAGCCGGGCACCATCAGCTTTCTTCGCCACATTTGCTTATGCACCCAACAAATAGGTTTTCTACTTAAAATATTTTTTGTATTTTTTTCTTATCTTAACCTCAGGACTCCAAAAGCAAGAACCTCATAGCATATTAATCTCAATTATTAATATCTATAGCTTCTGATAAAAGTTCAACTTTGGGTTTATTCAGGCAAGCATAAGGCATTCTTTCCTGTGGAATCTGGTTCAATGCCATTCACCCAAGGGGTTCAGCACAAATGTTACTTGATGACTATGCTGATTGAAGGAACTACAAATCTTAAGCATCATTTAAAACTGTCTTAATTTTATATTCCCCTTCTTCACCAATTAAAACTTAAGAATTCCCAGAGGACACCAATGTGCAAAATTTAGTAGTCGATGTTTGAAGGAAAAAACTGAAACTGACCTTTTAAAAGGGAAAAAAAATTGGATGACTCTGCTAAAAGCTCTGTGTAAAAGAACTAATGGTTACTGATTCTTTCTATGACCTTAACTTATTATTTCCCCTGTTTTTCTTCCTTTGCTTTCTTTAAGAAAGTGACATTTCCGCTATGGTGCTATAATCACCATATGCATTCTGGATTCTGCAAAGATTAGTTCAAGGTTACTTATCCCTGAAAAGTTCCCTGACTTACCAAACATTTTCAAGTGCTCCAACAAAGTAGAAAAGGTTAGTTTTTTTTCAAAAAAATCCATTAAAAAAATAACCTTATAAAACCATCTAATCATATAATATCACTGAATGATACAGCTGTGGAAAATGTTGAATTGGCAAATGTATTACCTATATATTTCTTATCAACAGTAAAATTACAGAAAAAATATTATGTTAAGATTTGTATGTATGTTAGAGTCCCTGCGGTGGTTATCATACTTGGCTGCTAACCAAAAACTTGGAGGCTCAAGTTTACCCAGCCATGCCTGGCATGATAGTCACAGCAATCCACTTGTCAAGAATCAGCTGTTGATATTTTTAAAAATATTCTCGTTCTATGAAGCACAGTTCTACTTTGACACACGTGGGAGCACCACGAGTCAAACTCAACTCCATAGCAACTGGTTATGATTTTATCTGTAAATAAGAAAATTTAAAGCTATTCAGTTGTGCCTGAAAATAGTTTTCTTGGGCATTTTATTAATACATCTGATCATCAAGTGCAGTTCTACTAATAATCATATAATGGAGAAAGATAAACTTTGGTCCTGACCCTTAATAAATGATAATAATTAACACAGCCTATGCTTAGTGGAACTTTTATTTAACAATGAATTAACCTCTGCCCTTTTCTAAAATGAGCACTCAAATTCTAAAAGGAAAATTACTCAAACATAAATGCCAAGTTATAAAGATCAAGCAAACAACTTATATGCGGACCCCTAAAACAAGAACAAAATCCTTCTCTACTGAAATCAAGAAAAGGTACAGTTTCTGAAATTATGTCTTCAGATCACTGAAGACTGAAAAGAGTTTGTAGAGTTAACTCTTAGAGATATGCACAGGCCAATACATCTTTTTTTTTTTTTTTTCAGGTCAATACATCTTTATGGGTCTCCTACCTTCCTTTTCTTCTCTAGTTACATCTCTAGCCTGGTGCTTCTAAGATTCCTGTGTAGTTGGTGGGTGATTTATAAATGCTTGCTAAATGAATGGATAAATGAAGAAATAAAGGAAGGAGAGAGGAAGTATAGTTTTTATTTTCTAAAATAATAAAGTTTAAGTTGTGTTCACCATTTGGGAGAGCAATTACTTTTCCATCAGCTACAAGAATGAATATGAAAAGGAGTAGACTAAAACAGAAAATATTTTAGCCCTTATGATATTCAGCAGTATGTAGATTATTTGATTATCATCATGAAATAACATTTACTAAGCGCTAATTGACAGGGAATTTTGTTCCAATCTAAGAGTTTACAGTCTAATAAAGACACACACCTTGCTTCTTCCCAAACACTGCATCTCCAAGGTCAGAATAGCCACTCTGAGCTAAATACAAAGGATGCTTTGTCAGTATCTTGTTTGACTTTGCAGTAACTTTGACATAGCTGACCATATTTTGGGGAAACACTTTCTTCCCTCAGCTGCCTTCATGCTGTTCCTTTCCTGGTTTTCTTACATTTGGGGTTGCCTTCTTTGTCATCTTTGCTAACTGACTTTAAATTCTGAGTTCTTCTCATACACGGCCATAGAATCTATTCCAACTCACAGTTACTCTACAGGACAAATAGAGAACTGCCTCTGTGAGTTGTAAATTTTTTTCTCATGGAATAGGCTGATGGGCTGGAACCACAGACCTTGTGTCTAGCAGCCCAATGGGTGACCAATACATCAACAGAGCTCTTTCACTGAATTTCTTAAGCTTCTACATTAAGCCTTCTTATATCACTCTATTCATATAACAGCTTTCCTTCCCAACTGTAAGCAAAGGAACAAGTCTGTCTTACTGAGAGCTATATTCCTAGCACCTCACAATGTGCCTGGCAACTAATAAGTAGCTATTCAATAAATATTTACTTAATTAAAATTACATTTAAGAGCAAAGTGCCAAGAATGGTCAAGGCAATTTGGACATTAACCAACACCCAAACTAGAGGATTTAGTCTAACAGCGATCAAGACCTATTACAAAGCTGTAATAGTTGGAATGTATGTTTATTGGCACAAGGATAAGCAAATAGGCACGTGAAACAAAACAGCAAGCTAAGAAACAGACTCATACATGGATGATCACATGATTTTATTTTATTTTATTCGTAACACTGCAGTAGGCAAAAGGAAGGTGTTTTTAATAAAAAGAATTGGAGTCAACTGAATATCCACGTCGAAAAAAAAAGAATCTCACCCTTACCTTCATGTGTCACGCACAAATACCAAGTCCAGATGTATTGTGGGTCTAAATGTTAAAAATAAAACAATAAAGTCTAAAAAGAAAAAAAAAACAGAGAACTATCTTCATAACCTTGAGGAAGGCAACAATTTTTCAAAAGCAGGCATAAAACCAATAGCCACAAAGGAGAAGTTAATAAACTGAACTAATTAAATTAAACACATTTGCTTGCCAGAAAATAGAAGTAAAGGAAGTGAAAAATCAAAGCTAGGAGAAAATATATAATATAGAATTTTTAAAAACCTGTAACTACAATATATAAAGGGCTCTTAAAGATTAATAAGTAAAAGGTAAACATCCCAAAGAAAACTATGCAAGAAACTTCA